TAAAGTCCCCTGTATGAGCGTCCTCACAGAAGCACGTTGGGTTGAGATCCGCAGGGGCTAACTTCCTCTGTGGAGGCTCCTCACAGAAGCAAAGAATTTGCTTTCCTCTCAGAGGTCCATTGGGTTGTTATGTCTATCGGTTTTTCTTAAGAATGTATTTGATATTCTTATAGCTCTGTTCATATTATCTAAGTCAAATTAAAACCTAGAAAATATCTAACAGTTACTTTTATTTTCTTGAATTAAATATGTAGGTCTAGATAATTTTCTTTAACTTTTTAATTTTTTAACTCACTTTTATTTAATTACTTTCATGTCGATATCTAGCATTTCGATAACTAAATGTTTAATAGAAATAGTCTAAATTTTCTAAATTTATTTTTATATTTTCAATTCAAGTTCAGATACAATTCTAGGCCCCAGAAAAGAGCAATCAATTTTTATGACTTTCTAGGTCACTATTAGTGTTAGTATTTTCTGTAATTTTAAACTAAATTTAATAGAATAATCATCCTATTCTAGTCTCTGTAATGTTGAATCGAAGGTGCTAGAATAATGAAGATTCCAAGTCTTTTATTGTTTTAGTGTTTTCTTTATAACGTTATTTTGGATTAGATTCTCTCTGATTTAAAGTATTTAAAAAAAAAGTTTATTAACTATAATAATTTTTCATAAGGATGCCGTTTTTTTTTAAATTACATTATCTTTTTACTATCTTAAAATAGGAAACAGGAAAATTTTAAATTGGGCGAGACACTTAAAATGACTCTGGAATATTTCATTTTTAAATGCACTTTATATCGAAAACGGTTATACACACAAAAGTTATATAGGGTTGTTCACCACATACGACACGGAGTATTGTAACTAAACGACTAGATTTTTACAAATTGTAAGTTTTGGGTTCGTTGAAGGACTATTAGAGCTACAATTTAAAAATATTTTTACAAGATACAGAGTGTCCCAAATAAATAAAAAATATCAAAGTTGTATTTTTTAAATGGAACACCCTATATATTATTACATTTTTAGTTTCTACGATTAAAATAAAGGTAAATTTGATTAAGGTTTATTATACTTAAACCTTACCGTTTTTGAAATATTTTCAATTTTGTGAAATTGCAGTATAAATTTTAAGGCTTAATTTCTCCGAGGGTATTAAAGTTTTTAATACTAAATATTTACTGAAGTTTATTTATTGATCAGTTATTGTGTTGCAATAATAAAAACTTTACTGCCTTATACAGAGTGTCTAAAAATTTATTTTAAATAATTAATAGCTATAAACGGCAATAACTTGTTTAATTTAAATGGCACACCCTGTATATTTTATGAGAATCAGATGCACAATTTAATTGTCTATGAAATTGTATTATACCATTTTTTACCTATCTCTTCAAGTTTCCGTAGAAAATGCATTTTCTTATAATTTAGAACTCATTTATCAATATATATATACCCATGGAATACTACATTTTAGATTATTTTTAAAGATGTACCAAATTTTTAAAGAGTATAGATACTAATATTCTCGATATAGTTTGTTTATTTCATTAAAAAATAAAAAAAACTGTTTAAGTATTTGTTAAAGTGGACCAGTTAGTATGATTCCAGTATTCAAACTACATTAATAGACTGTTTGCGTTGATTAATAATAATTGCTCCAAATACTAAAAAACTGAATTATGTATGTGTATTAGACAGTGTGGTAAAAAGTAACACCTTAAAAATAATGATATTTAATTTTTTGACAAATGCTTATTTATAACAACAGAGACGTTCATTTTCATAACTTATTATTATATTGATTTCTGATTCAAATCCACATTTATTTAGAATAATTTATTAACGAACACAATTAAGTATGTAGTTAATTAATATTTGGGCGGAAATACTGGTGGTATATTTAATTAATCGTGTACTCTTTTATAAAGATTTAAATAATTTTCTTTTTGCATACAAATGGGCCAGTAATATTATCGTTTTACTAAAAACGATAGTATTACTAGTCTGTACATTTAGTACATTTGTTGTTTTAAAAACAATCTAAAATGTCAATATTCCATGGGTATATTGATAAATGAGATCTAAATTATAAGAAAATGCAATTTCTACGAAAACTTGAAGGAATAGGTAAGAAGTGGTATAATACAATTTGATAGACAATTAAATTGTGCATCTGATTCTCATAAAATATACAGGGCGTTCTATTTAAATTAAATAAGTTAATGCCGTTTAAAGTTAGTAATTATTTAAAATAAATTTTTAGACACTCTGTATAAGGTAGTATAATTTTTATTATTGCGACACAATAACTGACCAATAAATAAACTTCAGTAAATATTTAGTATTAAAAACTTTGATATCCTCGGAGAAAAGAAGCCTTAAAATTTATACTGCAATTTCGCAAAATTGAAAATTTTTCAAAAACAGTAAGGTTTAAGTGTAATAAACCTTAATGAAATTTACCTTTATTTTAATCGCAGAAACTAAAAATTCAATAATATATAGGGTGTTCCATTTAAAGAAATACAACTTTGATATTTTTTATTTATTTGGGACACTCTGTATCTTGTAAAAATATTTTTAAATTGTAGCTCTAATAGTCTTTCAACGAACCCAAAACTTACAATTTGTAAAAATCTAGTCGTTTAGTTACAATACTCCGTGTCGTATGTGGTGAACAACACTGTATATTTTTGAAATTGCTAAAATATGTCTACCGGAAGATGCTAAAATGCGAGGGGATTTCCATTTAAAAAAATCAAGATGGTGTGATATCTATCAAAATTGACGTTTTACAAAAGTTTCAGATAAAAATCGGCATCCTCGAGAAAAATTAGATACATTAAAATATCTTTATACTACCTTAAAATAGGAAACAGAAAAAATTTAAATTAGGTGAGATACTTAAAATGATGTGCCTGTAATTCCAACAGTGGGATACCCCTTGATATTATGGTACCATTCATAATATTGCAATGTTACCGAAGATACAAAAGTATATTTATATACAAAATAAAAAAAATTGTACTGAAGCTGTGGTTGGGTCCTTGTGAAACATCGTTGAAATATTAGTATTTTAATAAAGCACGCTTTTAGATGTTTCAAAAAACTTTTAATAAGAGTAACTTTAACTCTACATATATGTTTCGGCTTGTTAGGCTTTTTTCAATAGTTTTTTTAAGAACTAATCGTCTAACTACACTGTAACTATATATATATATATATATATATATATATATATATATATATATATATATATATATTTACTATGGGGGTGGGTTCAGAGAGTTTACAATAGGGGTAATAAAAAATGTGTTTAGAAATCCTTGTTGGTCGTTAACATTATTTTCGTTTTTAACAGATTTTAGTATTTCTAACTGTTCAATGTAATTTAAACGTCTACCTTTTGTTTCTCTGTGTAGTAACTTAATTGAGTTTTCATTAATTTTGTGATTATTTACTATACAATGAGTTGCAAGACCAGAACTATGCTGGAGATTATTAATATACTTTACATGTTCTTTAATCCTTATATCTAAATTTCTACCTGTTTGGCCTATGTACACGGCATCACAGTATTGCAATCCACCCTATATACACCCGACTTATTTTTGACATTAGTTTTGTCTTTATTATTTAATAAAATTTGACCTAAATTTCTTTTATTTACGTTAATAGTTTTACATCCTATTTTATTGAGATTATTTGATATTTTGTTAGTTAAATTAGGAATGTAGTTTAAAGGTTGATAATTGTTATTGTCTTTACAATTAGCGGAATAAAAATTTTTCATTAATATTTTCTTTTGTTTTTTCTTTAGCATATTATCAATAAGGGAACACTTATATCCATTGTTGATGGCGATTTGTTTAATAATATTTAACTCTTTTTTAAAATTCTCTGGGCTCAGTGGAAACATTACTAATCTATGAATTAAATTAAAATGTCACCCTTTCATAGTTTAATTCATAGATTAGTAATGTTTCCACTGAGCCCAGAGAATTTTAAAAAACAGTTAAATATTATTAAACAAATCGCCATCAACAATGGATATAAGTGTTCCCTTATTGATAATATGCTAAAGAAAAAACAAAAGAAAATATTAATGAAAAATTTTTATTCCGCTAATTGTAAAGACAATAACAATTATCGACTTTTAAACTACATTCCTAATTTAACTAACAAAATATCAAATAATCTCAATAAAATAGGATGTAAACTATTAACGTAAATAAAAGAAATTTAGGTCAAATTTTACGACAAATAATAAAGACAAAACTAATGTCAAAAATAAGTCGGGTGTGTATAGGGTGGATTGCAATGATTGTGATGCCGTGTAACATAGGCCAAACAGGTAGAAATTTAGATATAAGGATTAAAGAACATGTAAAGTCTATTAATAATCTCCAGCATAGTTCTGGTCTTGCAACTCATTGTATAAAATAATCACAAAATTAATGAAAACTCAATTAAGTTACTACACAGAGAAACAAAAAAGGTAGACGCTTAAATTACATTGAACAGTTAGAAATACTAAAATCTGTTAAAAACGAAAATAATGTTAACGGATTTCTAAACACATTTTTTATTACCCCTATTGTAAACTCTCTGAACCCACCCCCATAGCAAATATATATATAGTTACAGTGTAGTTAAACGATTAGTTCTTAAAAAACTCTTGAAAAAGGCCTAACAAGCCGAAACATATATGTAGAGTTAAAGTTACTCTTATTAAAAGTTTTTTGAAACATCTAAAAGCGTGCTTTATTAAAATACTAATATAAAAAAAATTGTTTGAAAATCTTCAAAACACTTTAAAAAATAATTTCATCTTTATTACAGTGACAGTAAAAAATGAAAAATAAAACTTCGAAGTAAGAGACAAAAAGTAGACCTGTAGCATTATAAAACATTTACGATTTCAACAGTTGGTTTCTATTCTCTATCCCTCTACAGCGCGTACCCGTCAAAACCTCTGACAGTAATCACCTGTATCCTATTTATCAATGTCAGAAGCAAGAATATTGTACACGATTATTATACTCTGTAGTTTCGTGATTTACCGCCAATCAATCGCGATCAGAGTGGATAAAAGCCTATCGCCGATACAGTTAAACTATGAAAAATCAGAAGAAAGTGTTTTATCGAAGGGAAAGGAAAGTTCTGGATTGGGAAAGGTAGTGGAGTCGGGTGTTATAGAAAAAGCAGTTAAGGAAACGAACTATGATAGTTTGGATGATATACAGTACGCTGATGATAGTGATGCCGATCAAAGATCGTTGCTCAGGGGTAAAAAGAATATTAAGGAATGGGATCATTGGGTATGTTTTAACAAGATTTTATTTTTGTAAAAGATAAATACTACCGTGTTAACAAAAAAAACCTTATTCGACAAGTTGAGTTGTCTTGTTTTTTAATATTTCTGAATGGAGCACAGAATATAACATTTCAATATAATTTTAAGAATAAAGCAAGAAAGGTATTTTTTTATATTCACTTATTTGAAAAATACCTTTATCTACTTAATTATTATTACATACACTCTTGAATCTCTGTTGTTATTAAGGCGTCTTTCATTAAAAAGGCAGAATAGGTCGATATATTTTAGATTTAGCTACTTTCAGGATATTGGCCTGTTTCACTGAGACCTTTTTAGGTTTATTGTTGTCCCCTTTTGATCTCTATCTACTTTTAGGGCAAATGGTCGCCGTGCAGCGCCACCTGTGGTGTGGGAAAGACAACTAGATGGCGACACTGTGTGTCTCAAGGATGCGCTTCAGGCGAAAAAGAGGCTCAAATACGAACTTGTACATTGAAACCATGTCCATAGAACTTAAATATGAAATACGATATTGCATTTTATTTATTATACTAAGCTACCCTCTTCTTAAAATACAAAATTTTGAAAAAGACAGTTGCATCGGCTTTTGTTGCTTTAATTGAACATGGTAGGAATCAACTTCAAGATTTAAAATGATTTCGGCTAAAGTAACTGCCAATAAACAACAATAATTTGATTTTTGAATGATAGTTACAGCAGCAATAAAAATTATTCAGGTCCGTTAATGAGGCCCAAAAGAAAATGAAAGCTTTTAACGATAAAATTATTATGATACAGGGTGGTCCGAACTGTATTCCGGAAACTTCAGCGGCATATTCTGCAGATAAAAATAAGTAAAAAAAAATCGTATAAATGTATGCCCTAAAATGCGGTTTTCGAGAGATACAGGGTGTGGAAGTTTCATTTCTATTTCCATTTTTTTTCCAAATAATTTATGAATTAACGTCAATTTATAACGTATTTGAATGAAAATCGGAGTGTGGGAGTTTTTTGGCATGATATTCAATTCAATTCAATTCAAAAGTACTTTATTGTTAAAAAATATATAAATTTTTGTTAACAAAGCATAATATTCCTAAATCTAAACCTAAAACATTTATTTCCAGCAATCTTAACATTAAAAAACAGTTTTATGAAAAGTAAATAAATGCGTGTAAATATGAAAACAAAAAATAAAATTATATATCTTAATTAGCGATGGGAACTATCGAATGAATTAAACTATCGAATGGTTAATGAATGAATGATTTCAACTATCGAATGGTTTTATTCGAATAAAATCATTCATTCATTTGTATACTAAAGCATATGTGACAACCTCGCCGTGCGACTAAATGGTTATCGTTGAGCCAGGACTATCGAATGCTTTTGATAAATGAAATTTAGTATTCGTTTGATTTTTGTATGCGTCAGTGCATTATTAGTTCTCCCAAATTTTTATAACTTCGCCGTATAAATACTGTGCTATTTTTGCGTTTATTAAAATAGTTAAAATACTAAAATAGTAGTTATTTTTTAATTTTATTTATTGACGATTGTGTGCATGTGCAGGTGGTCAAAATTTTTCCGAAAATTTGTGTGGTTTTCCGTAGTCCGATCTTTCGATTATTTAATTTTATATGGTATATGGTCTATTTTTTAATGGGAAATTTTGAGAAGTAGCAATTTTTAAGAGAGATGAGATGAACTTACAATTAATTTTATAAATACATATTTGTATTTTAGATGTTTTAATAATATGAATTAGTTGAACTTAATAATCATATTTAAGTAATGTGGTTAAGTAAATGGTAAACACAAACTATGGGGTGAGAAAATTAAAATGAAAGTTTTACACGTGCCAATTTAAAAAAAAAATGTTAACTATGTTTGTATTTTGTTTATGCTAATTCTCTTACATGTAGTTTTTTGCGAAGAAATATTTCATTTATTTTTTAAAGTAAATGCCAGTAAAAGTAAATATAATTTTTAAATAGTAATATAAAGCACCTAATATAAATAATTTTGATTTCTAATTTTTTATTTATATTTTCTTTCCATTACACTGCATGCTTAGAAAATTAATAAATGTTTATATTTCATGATTTTAAAATTTGTTGTTAATATAACAAATTAGTTCTGTAATTATTATTATTTAATAAACCAACGTTGTCAAAAAATTTAGAGACTATATTATTTTTAAATAGGATCTAATATAAATAATTTTGACATCTAATTTGTTGTTTATATTTTGCTACTACTTAAAAAAATATTTATATTAAATCATTTTAAATTTTGTTGTTAATAGGTATAACAAATTATTATTGTTATTATTATTTATTAAACCAGTCTTTGCTTAAAAACATTAAAAATCATTTTCTTACATCCAAAATAACAAGTATTATTGCAGTGTAACAACAGAATATTAATAAAAAATGCAGAATATATAGACATACTATCCCTAACTAACTAAAGCCAAACAATAATATTCTTTGCTAATATCAACTAATACCAAAATATGGCAACAGCGCCCTTCATAATGTATTTTCTGTGTAAATACTAGCACCTCAATAAAAAAAATAATGTGTCCTTATCTATATCTGGCTCCGCAAAAAATCAAAGATGCCGGCTTCTTTCATCGCATTGCCACCGACCGCTGTCGGGTTTCTCGGAAAGAAACCTACGTCGCCGGGCGACAACTAAAATTCAGTTAATATTTTATTATAATCGATCCTGACGAATAAATGAATTTCATAAATGAATGAATTTTATAAATGAATGGTTTTTGCTGCCGAATTACTAGAATACAATATTTCAAGGCAATTGACCGATCTATTCGATAATTTTTATTCGAATAGTTTTCAACGAATGTTTTCTTACTAACTATCGAATTATTCGAATGAATTGCAACTATCGAATGTTTCGATAGTATTCATTCGATAGTTCCCACTACTAATCTTAATAGTAGATTATTTTCTTTTATCTATGATTATATATTATAAATATATTGTGTGAATATAAGATTGAACAATCAGCAAAACAGGTTTAAACAACTAAGTAAAATAACATACAATATACAGAACACATATAAGATAAAAAAATTCTAAATTCTAAACACTAGTATCAAGGGTGTCCCGGTAGAATTCGTCAACGCTGTAAAATGCCCTACTTAAAAGTTCTTTTTTCAGTAGCCTCCGGAAGGTTTTTATGGAATTAACCAATCTTAAAGGAACCGGCAGATGATTAAAGATCTTTCGGCCCTCATATATTATAGATTTTTTGATCAATGTGCTATTTGGAAGTGGCAAGGGCAGATTCAGGGTTTAGCGGGTAACAATATTGGGTAGTCTGTTACGATTTTTAAAAATAAGGGATGATTTTTCCAGAATAAAGAGAGATGGTAGAGTAAGAATTTTTTGAACTATGAAGTGTTGTCTACAGGATTCGATATGTGGTACATTTACAATAAATCGTACGGCCTTTTTTTGTAAAATAAAAAGAATGTTTAGTAGACCCTGATTAGCCACACCCAAGAATGGTATTCCATACCGGAGATGAGACTCAAACAAACTAAAATAGACCGTCCTTGCCACTTGTGAACCCAGTTCTTCCCTAATTGCCCTAACAGCAAAGCATCCAGAAGACAACTTGCCACTTAAGGCCTTCAAATCGCAGATTTCCATCAATAATAATTCCCAGGAATCTAGTCGCAGGAATTCCTGTAAGCAAACCCCCCTCGAAATGGTGATTTGTGATATCACACCTTATAACCCACAAAATTCTAAAAGTTACTGGTTTGTGGAAGTATGCTTTGGAATTAAATAAGACAATAGAAAATTTCATTAATGACTTATATTTAATTAACAATTATAAACAATCAATGTAATTGACTGTGACAGTCTCGATTATATGAGATTAGATATGCAACTGGAATACTTAAGTGTTTCTGCTTCGGTTGGTTGGGAGAAAGGCCTCACCCTCTTCGCTGCACTCGTCCGCTGGTGGGTAGCGTGATTGTCCGGCTAACGTTGGAGAGCTTGTGAGACTCCACCAGTCTCAGTGCGTGAGCTACTTATGGGGAGGGTCAATTCTCGTATCTTCCTAGAAGATAACAAACAGCAGTATTCTACTCAACACAATTGATAAGTACCCAGTTTTGTGGTGGTGTTCTAAATTACCAATTGAACTGTCTGTTGGTTGCCAATGAAGGTACAATAAAAATAACTTATGATTAAACAACATATTAGTGATTCAAATAAACAATAATCAATATCTAAATCCAACTACTAATTATTATAGTAAAAATTATAATTAAAATTTAAAAAAGAAAATAGGCAATGACAGTTTAAATTAGTTATAATTGAAAAGATTGTCCAAATTATTTAAAGAATATAAAGAATATAAATATAGAATTATAAAAAAAATATAAAAGAAAAATATTTTGCTCTCTCTCTCTCTCTAGAAAATTCCAGACCACCACAATCACTTCGGTACAACTTGAAAAAAAAATTATATTGTTACAGTAAATTATTTGATTTAATTTGCAGACACGTGTAAAAAGAATAAAAAAAAATGTAAGATAAAAAAACTAAAAATATATGAAAATTTAAATTAGAACAAAAGTTAATACTAAAATGCGATATTAAAAGATATATTAAAAAACTAGATAGAACGATAAAGGTAAATAGAAAGATAGGATAAGATACGAAAAACGATAAATGCAGCAATTCGACAGATAAAAACTAAAAGAAAAGATATGTCACTCCAGGAACAAAGATAATGCATCCGCCAAATAAGATAAAGATAAGGTAAGGTAAATTTGGCAGATACGAGGTAAAGATACGTTCCCTAGAGTGACCCAAAAACAACAAAAAACAAAAATCTATCTGTCGAATGGCCTGCTAATAGACACCACCACTACAGGGTCCAGATAAAACAAGAGTTGCCTTCTGGCAAGCAAGGATTCGTTAAAGGTGACATAAGTCGTATAATATAAATATTATAAAAAATCCTTACTTACCAGAGTCCCTCCTGGTTCGTCTCTGAGAGTACTCCTGCAGTGATTGATTCTATTCATGGCCCCTGAGATTGCTAAATCGAACACCTCTGCGGGTTCCTGTTCGACAGCTTGCGTCTCAGTACATAAATAAGAAAGATAAAAATAATTAGTACTAAATAAAAGTTAAATCTATTAGAAATTTTTTTACAAAACTACCATACACGTGCTACTAAGATAAGAAGATAAAGAAATGATGATAAAAAAAATGAACTGTGAGATAAAATAGAAAAAGGAATTTAAAGTTACAAGCTAATTAAATAATTAAATCAAATAATTAAATCATACTAGATAGTAAGAAATGTTTAAAAAAATAAAACTAATAAATAATTTCCAAGTCGTACCTCGTGCCGGTGTCTGGAAAAAAACTAGGTGTTTAAGCAAAGAAGATCGAGATGAGAGAGAGTGATTTTCGGCAAAACAAGTCCCTTTATAGAATTCTCCCATTCATTTAGACATGCGTTAAGTACCAAATATCAATATAAAAATTTATAATTAATAGTAAAAATAATAAATACGATAAAATTTCTT